TGGTCTGGGCTTTTACCCTTTATTATGCCCGAGTGAGAGCGGACATTATCCCTTTGAGATCGTCTCTATCCTCCTTTTGGGAGCTCTGTTGTTTTTATTCGTGTGTGTCGTGTCGGTAGTGTCAAGAGTCTTTTTTTGGTTTCTAGCGTTGCTAGTTTCGGTTATATTCGGTCTTCAGACATGTCTTTACAGTTTATTCAGTTTTTTGTTGTATTATTCAACTAAGGATTGTACCTTTACACATTTGTGCGTTTTCGTATATAATAGAGATATTCTCTATTGTTCCGGGAAAAAAAAAATTACTCATTCTCCATTTCATAAAAAAGCTCCTATTTGGAGACTTTTCAAAATTAGTATTATAAAAATATCGGTCAAATATTCATCGAGGTGCAAACGTTTTTTCTTTCTTCAAATTTCACTTTACCAAACACAATCAACTGACCAAAGACCGTTATATATGAGTTGTGTGATTTAGGTCTATGTGAAATGGACATGTTATGTATAAGTTTGTTTTCCATTTACTTTTTATTTCTTAATTTTTAATTTATTGAGATCATGGACGTATATCAAACCTGAAAACTGGATGAAGTTAATTAATGCAATAATTATCGGAATTTTTTTTCTTAATCAACAGTTGGCCATTAATTTGACAAAATGATAATAAATACGGAATTAAGACCGAATTATACTTCTGACTTTTTAAAATTATACGTATGGACTTGAAAAAAAGTAACAATCAAATAGCCTTAGACTAAAAGCAACTACTTGTGGTCATTTATTTCATTTCACATAGTAGTAATTATATATATATTTTTTTTAATTTACTAATATTGTGAATAAAGTTGATTAATTAGATTATTTTAGAGTGTATTGAATATCTAGTTTGAAAGATGTCGAATAGGTTTTGAATTTGACTAACATTGTGTAACCAAATGATTTTGTAGACCTAAATAATTAAACGTAGAAGCAATTAATTTCATGTTAATGATTTCGAGAAAATTGCAACTTAAGTTTTGAAATTTTTTTATGTCAACTAGGAGGCTATAGACTAACTAACTTTATTTTTCTTAGCTAATTATGATTTATAGAAGTAATGGAACTTAATTAGTGAACTAATAACAAAATACTATAAATTTTAGAAATACATGGAGAAGTGCTTGCTACAAAACATCTCATTTATTTATTTATTTATTTATTTATTATTATTATTATTATTATTATTATTATTATTATTATTATTATTCTTATTCTTTTTTTGTTCCAAATAACACATAAATTTTGAATTATCTTGTGTAATACGCAGAGCCGGTTTTAAACTTTATGAGTTTCTGAGCGAAATGTGTCAAATGTTCTTTTTGGTTTTTTACAATAAGTTCCTGAAAACATCATAATGTTACTAAATATAATAAAGAGGTAATAATTAAAATATAATTATAAATAAATTTTATATTTAAAAATGAGAAGGAAAGAGGAAATACTTTCGTTCTTAAAATCATAAAATAAACGTTCAAAACGCACAAATGTGCAAAGATACACCCGAAGTTGAATAAGACAACTCAAAGGTGAGTAAAATGGGAGGACATGTATGACGACCGCTTAGAATCCCGACCTAGCAACGCTAGGAACCGAAAAGAAGACTGACAAAACAACAACACAACAAACCACAAAAACTACAACGAAAAGTTCCCCACAGGAGAATAGAGATAAGAGCAGATCCCCACAGGATAATAAGTTGCTCCCGCTCGAACTGAGGCCAACGACCCAAACCAAAAAATACAGAACACCAACACTCAGGCAAGGAGCCAAAACCTAAAACACAATCCTACCATACAAGATAACATAAAAAGACAACTAAAATAATATACTAGCCCTCCCTCTACAGCAACTCCAAACCATACTAGCAGCCACCAAATCAACCCAGGGGAATCCCACAGCATGAGGAAAACGTCCTCTCCACTGCCAAACCGCCTCGCTGAATCGCAACTCAAACCGCGAATCCCACCTAAAGCCAATTCTCCCCCACGCCAGAAAACACCAAGAAGCTCCCAACACAGCCAGACCGAGCCCCTAACACGACTAGCAGACTCTGAAGAACCGTGAACACCCCGGAACCCAAACCCAGAGAACCGGGGAATAGGAGTTGTTTCAACGCCGCAGCCCCAGCCCCACCATCCCTAAATCACAAAGGCATCTGAGCCACTCAAGAACCCAACCTCCGAACCACAGAGCACTGCTAGTCGCAGCCAAAAGAAATCGAGACAAGAGCGGTTAGAAAGAAAACTCACCCTCAATCGAGATCGACGAACACGAAATCCGACCAGTCGTCAACCGAAAGCTCGCCACCTTCAATCACCAATCCGCCGGTGAAAAGGAACTTGCAAACCGACAGCCCCTGCACGCCGCGGCGACCAGAAAGCGAACCAAATCGGAGAGGAGCCCGTCTAAGAGCCCGAGACACTCCAGCTAGAGAAGGTGAACCAGCTAGTGCCGTACCCGACCTTAACCCATGGCACCGTGACTCATGAGCCCTCCACCGTGCTGGAGAGTCCAACAATCGCAAACCCTAACTTACCTGCCGTAGAAGGTGAATTGGATTGGACAACCACCGAAACCGCCGACATTTGTGGCGAGCAGAGTCGCGACATCTGGGAAGGACCGGGCGGCGAGGGGACGATTACCGACAAGGCAGGAAGCCGAGAGGAAGGCGACGATTAACCAATTTTTTGTGGCGAGGGAGAAAGAGAGCGGTGAGAGAGAAATTGGTAAATTAAAATTAATAAATTGTTATCTTTAGAATATTTTAAATTTATTGGAGTATATATTATTTAATTAATATTTAATAATTTTTATTGAGAAAGTAAAAATTTACTAGTTTTGATATCTAAGAAAACTAAATAACAACGATAAATTAAAACTTATCTTAAAATAAGTTGATTTCAATTGACTTTTTAGTGACTACTAGTAACATTATTTAATTGTGCCTCAAGAAATAAAATTAAAAACTGAATGAAAATCATAATAGAAAATATGTAAAAACATATTAATTTTACTACTAATAATTATTAATTAATGTTTGCATGAAATTTACTGAATGAGAAAAAAAGTTCTAATAAAGAATAAAAAAATAGCTATGAAAATTATTTTTTATATAATTAATATATATTAATAATTTATACTCCCTCCTATTCATTATAAATGTCGTTTTTGACTTTTTTGATTCATCCATTTTGTTATGCATCTAGGCATTAATATGTCTAGATACATAACAAAATGGATGAATAAAAAAAGTCAAAACGACATTTATTATGAATAGGAGATAGTAATAGTTGTTTATGAGTAAGTGGGGCTATGAACAGTCGCTTGCCCCACCCTACCCCAAGGTAGACTCTAGTAATAGTGTAATACACATGTTAGATTGATATAAAACATTGTAAATATACATATTTGACCAAAGAAAATTTTTCATTCTATCGTTTCGAAAAAAAAAAAAAAAATCAAAGAAAATTTTCCTATACTGCGTATCTCTATTTTAATTCATTTTATTTGTTTATTTTCATCGATAATATCTCACAATCTTCACCATCAATGTTTTCCAATAATATTTACCCATATATGTATAATAAATATAAGACATGTATTCTCTTAATTTTTTATTAGAATTGTTTTATTTCAATTTATCATCATTAAAGATTAAAACATATTACATTAAAATTGTTATTATATATATATATATTTATCATCATTAAAGATAAAATAATAACAAGAACGTATTAACTAAAAAATCTCTTAATATTAATTCTTATATTTCTAATCCTTTTGAGTTAAATATTTAATTTTTTTTATTATTTGTTTAATTTTTTTTTAATATATTTTTTTTTTAATTGGAAAAGAAAAATATTTTCTTTTCGATAAGCCCCACAGTAAAATAAAATAAAATAGAAAAA